CACACCCATTCTGGTTGTTACTGTTGGGTGTTATGACCCAGCCACACCTGGTCTTTAGTTAGACACAGCTCGCACATGGCTCAGTAGGGGCAGAGATCTAGCACAACCCATCCTACACCCACCCTGGCTCTTACATGCACCAGTGGGTGATGGAGTCTAGCTCAGACTGGCACATCCTAGATCCAGTCTACACCCATGCTGAGGGACACTGCAGTCATATCCAGCCCAGATCGTCACCCCCATTCTGGCTTTCATGCTCACCAGTGGGAACCACAACACAGCCAGGGTGTCCACTTAGCTCTCCAACCAGACCTGTTCCCAGCCACAAATCTTGCCAATGTCAGCGATTGCTCTGACCCAGTTTGGCATAGCCTATCCCCCATCTTAGACTTTGCCATCAGATGCTGCAGCTAGCATGTCCTGGCCTACTGTTAGTCCCAACTCTCTCCGGTGGGTGCTACAGCAGATCTCTGCACAGTGTGCTCCCATCCTTGGCTCATGCAAATTGGTAGGTGTTATAACCTAGCCTGGCATGACTCGTACTCCAGCTAGCTTCTGCACATACCAGTGAGTTAAGGTTTGGTCTGACCCTGTCTGATCTGCCCCCTCTCCAGAACCAACCTACATACTTCCTGATGGGTGGATCTGCTTTGTCCAGCCTGGCTGATACCCAGGCCTGACTCACATGCTCACCAGTGGAAGCTTCAGCCCACCAGGGGAGTTTCCCAAGTTCCCCCACCAGTCCCACTCCCAGACTGAGATCTCACAGAGGATTGGTGGACTGACTGTAGAGCACATGTGTCAGAACTGGGCCTCTTCAGTGGAAAAGATGAAGCAGTGGAAGGCAGGCTCGGATGCACTTGGAGTATATGGCTGCCCATTGGGTCTTTCAGAGTACATCTGGTACCATAGCAGAGGAAGGAGAGCAGAACAAATTGGACAACTACACCAGCCAAGAATTGACAGCAAATATCTGAGCGAATGAAAACTCTTAAGTTAGACTACATCAGCCATTGGATCTTGGGAGTATTTAATCATCATTGGATCTGCAAGATTTACAGCATTCTAGAACTATCAAAGCCAATTTAACAGAATGCTCGAAGTATGCTCCATATTGGGGACCCTGGGTGGTTGTCGGATGGCCATTCCCCAACCTTGGGCACTGAGATGATTGGGAGGCTGGATGAGGCTTTTCTCCTTGTCTCTCCCTTCCCCCAGATACAGGAGGCAGAAAAAAAAATTTGGAAATAATGGTCTCACCCTCTTTTCCCAAACTTCCTTCAATCATTCCCACCCTTATCAACTATGTAAACATAATATAAAATTTTAAAAATAAATAAAAAGAATGAAATGCTACCATTTGCAGCAAAATGGTCCCAACTAGAGGCCATTATGCTCAGTGAAATAGACCAATTCCAAAAGGACAAATATCATAATTTCTTTCTGATGTAAGGTACCATTCATACAAAAATAAGATAAATCAATATGCAGGTAAGCATGTATATGCATATATTCATTAAGATGAACTGTATAATGTAGACTAGCATAACAAGAAGGGAAGATCAATTGCAGCTCTATTCCCAAATAAAAAGAGGACTCCCAATGAAGTTTAAATGTCTTGACAGTAGGATACTACACTTTCTACCATTTTCTGGATTTACTGTGCCATGATACACTTAAATAGCAGAATGTTAGATTTGTGAGTGTTGCTGAATGACTATACTATTACCATAATATGGGGGGTAACAGTTGGGCTGAATCTGGGGAGTTGGATGGGGAAATTCCCATGCTTGTGGAATTGTATCATTAAAAAAGCAGTCGTAAACAATACTTAAAAAGTAAAAAGAAAGAAGGAAAATAAATGGAGCCAGAAGGAGGACTCTGTGCACAATTGCCCAATAGTAAATATCATAAAAGAATCTACCAGGACCACAATTTCCACATAGGCCATCAGAATCTTATAAAAATGTACTGGGTCCAGCAAGTGTGTGTTCTACTTCAGTCTGATGTCAATCTTGCTATTAATTACTGTGACCAAAGATAACTGTTTTAAAATATGTTGAGTCATCCTCCTTATTTTTTGCCATTAAAATTTCCCCTTGTGACAAATAAATAAATAAGTAAATAAAGATAAAAGTTCATCTAAAAATTAACATTCATCAAGGTTTTAATTTATTCCAGGGATTGGCTCAGTTGACCATTTAACAAGTAGATTATAAAATGTAATGTTTGTTTAATATTCCAATTTTATGTGGTTTTTCTTGAGTATTTTGTATATGTTCCCAAAATATAGGCTATTTCTTTAGCAGCTATGTTCATTTGCTCTTCATTTTCTTTTTTTTTTTTTCTAAGTTCTTTGCACCAAAATGCCACTTACTTTTTTTTTTTTTTAAATAAAATTTATTTTGACATTCTTTACATACTTAGTTAGAGTAAGAAGGTTCAAGGGCTACAGGAAAGTGGATAATACTAGTATGTTTTCCATCTTGTTACCTTCATGTTTAAAAGGGGGGTATTAAGGGAGAAGGCCCACCCAATTTCCCACCCTCCCCAAGTCCCGGGTGTAGGGCATGCTCTGAGGTTCTTGCTCGAGTGGTTTTGATATTGCAACAGTTATGAATCGCTGTCAATCTTGCCACTCCAAGCACTATGAGGTCTTTGAAAAATCCACTGATTGACATAGTCCATCATAGCTGAGATGGTTGGTTGACCTGTTCTGTCTTCTCTCTTTTCTTCGTTAGGGTTCTGAGTCCAGCATTTAGATTAGGAAGATCTCCAAAGAAACTTCTTGTATGTGCTAACAAGTACAGGGCCAGGCACCGTCCATCGCTCCAATCAGCTGGTGGTTGTAATTGCTGGGTTGGTTCTGTTTTCACTCCCGACTTCCACTGGAACCAATGGGTGTTGCGGTCCAGCCTGGTTCTGCCCCGCACATATTTGGCCCTCACCTAAACCAGTGGGAGCTGCAGCCTAGTTGGAGCGACCCACAATAACCCCCACCAGGACCGCCCCTACCCTGGTTTGCCAGTAAGTGTAGCAGTAATCCAGTCTGTCCCACACCCCATTCCACCCCAGCCACTGTTTAGTTTTATGTCCTCCCGTGGAAGTGGTAACCCAAGAGGGATGAGCCCACTATTTCCCTCCCAGGCCTCTCCCACTCCCAGATTCCAGTTGATGCTGCCCAACCAAACCTCGCCCACTTTAATTTTGTTTGCACCAGTAGGAATAATCCGCCGAGCCCGGCTTTTCCCTGATCTAGTCCACATGAGGCACACAGGTGTGGTAGCTCTGCCTAGTCGGGTCTGCCCCCATCCCAGCCCATGCTCTCCTGCAGAAGTAGCTATCCTGCAAAGGAACCCTCCCTTATTCCCCTGCTGGCTCTGCCTACTTCCTTTCTTGTTCTCAGGCTGGTTGGACGCTGCGGTCCCCTCCGGTACAGGCAACCTCACCTCGGCATTCCATATTGTGCACTAGTCTTTGTTGCGACCGAACCTGGGTCAACCCTCACTGGTGCCTGGATTTGCCAGTGGATGACGTGGACAGATTCAGCCTGGTCTTGCCCCCACGTCTGCCAAGTGTATGCCAGTGGGTAGCTTTCCATGGCCTTTTCTGGGCTGTTTCCTATCATGTTTCTTGCGCTGACCTGTCGGGTCTGTGTCCTGCCAGAGGAGTTGCCCAGGCTCCTCCATCAGAACCTCTCCCAATGCCAGGTTACACGCTTACCAGTGGGTCCATGAGCCAACCCTACTCAGACCACCTCCTGTCAGAGCAGGAACTGTGGCTTTTCCTGACTGGCCTTCCACCCAATCTGGTTGTTGCTGTTGGATGTTCCAGCCCAGCCATGGTTTGTCCATACCTACGTATGGCTCACACACAGCTCAGTAGGGGTTTGAGACCTTGCCTTGTCTATCACACATCTGCCCTGGTCCTCCAGAACACCAGGGGGAGTCGGGGTCCAGCCCGGTTCGGTGCATCCAATCCCAGTCCACACTTGTGCCAAGGGAGACTACAACTGTATCCAGATCAGAACGCAGCCCCCCTTCCAGGCCACGCGCCTCTTTGTGGGAACCTCAGCCCAGCTAGGGTTGTCCCCTTTGCTCCCCAACCGGGTCTGTTCCCAGCCATAGATCACTCGCATGCCAGTGGTTGCTCTGACTCAGCTTGGCACAGCTCCTCACCTGTCCCGACCTCTGCCTTAGACACTGTGGCTTCGTGTCCCTGGCTCCTGCAGACCAGTAGGTACAAGAGCCTAGCTTGGCATGACCTTTGCTCCCTCCTGGTTTCTAGTTTTACTTGTGGGCTAAGGTTTGCTCATTCGTACCAGATCTACTCTGTTCCCTACCAGTTGACACATTAGCCAGCCATTGGAGCTACTTTTGCAGGACAAGCCCCAGGCCCAGGCTTCTGCATGGACTGGTATTTGGTGCCCAGCATTATTAGTGATTACAACTTTTACAAAGAAAGAGTTACTGCCTGTTTGAGGTCCGAGAATCACAATGGGTTCAACCTGGAGCTAATTAAGCAGCGAATCAAAGAACCAAATACCCAGAGCTCCCCAGCCGGGCGGCCAGCAGGCGGAGCCTGGCACCAATGGCGCACTGGCCGCCCGGGAACGGCTCACCATGTGCCCATGGCGGCCGTCCGGAATCCAGGCATGAGACGCCCCGTCCTGAGACCCACCAGCCGCCGGGAGGCTGCTGGAGGTTTAAAATTCCCAGGCCCAAGGTCGCGCCCCTCCCAAATCCCCTTCACCGCCCAATGAGGGTGGTGGCTGGGTGCCGGACCTGCCCGGTCCCAGAGGCCTCCCCCCTCGGTCTACTCACCCCAAAGGAAGCAGCCTCTGGAACCCAGCAGGCCCGGGAACGGCTCACCATGTGTTACACAGTTGCAAAAAAAAGGTTTTGGTATAAAAAGCTTGACATTAGAGGAATTCTGCAGTAGACAGCTTCTTTTTGTAAATATGAAGATATGTTAATTTTTTCATGTTAATTTTTCTGTAGGGATACCAGGGACTCACCGGTTCACCAGGTGTTCCAGGTTCCCCAGGAGTGCAAGTATGTGACCTGATTATAAGCACTTTGGAAATCTGATTGCTAGCAAACTAAGTCAAAATAATAAAAATAATGGAAATTTATTTTGTGTTTAATTTAGGGAGCTCAAGGACTGCGAGGTTACAAAGGAGAACCAGGGAGAGATGGTGGAAAGGTAAACATACAAATAAATATGTGTTCCATGGTTAGATTAATGGGTGTTATCATGATGGCTGTCTTTCAAAGATGTTCACCTTGGTGAAATCCAATATGTATGGACTCAGAAAATTATTGGTGACCATTGGCCAGTAAAACTCTCAGAAGTCTTTAAGAACTGGTTGAGATCTCAGTACTAGATGATCACCACTGGGTGCAGCAGACATTGACTTTGGCTAGGATTCTTAGTTTATACCTGTTGTTAAGCTCTTAGTGGTGTACTTTATTAGCAGCAACTAAAATATATGAATGGAATGTTAATCCCGTGTTAGTGTCAGATAACTCAAAGCTCTTGAATTTTGCTTCAAATTGATTTTTCCCTAGGAGAGGATCTATTGGCTCAGAATTCTTGTAAGTTGCAATGGGCAAAGACAATATTTTATGTTACCAACTTTGTTTCTCTACAACTCTGAGATTTGCCATACTTCTGACATAAGTTTTGCTAATTATGTTCCCTCACATCTAACAGTGACTACTGGCCTTGATAATTTTTCCCATGTCCAAAGAGCTCATTTTTTAATTTTCTTGATTTACTCTGTTGATTTTATAAGTTTAACCTCCAAGAACAACCTTATTTCCAGATTTTTTAAGGACATGTGTGTGTGTGTTCTGAAAAAGTCCCTACAATAGTAATCTCAACTTTGCACATATCTTTGCTTTTTCAAAAAATGCATGCAACATTTATGTCGAAGAAACACTGATGTAGACTTTATTCACTTTGTATTTTCACCTTTGTTCATGTTAATTGCAAGAAATTGTGTATCTCTATAGTCTGGTAGATTTCAAGCTACTTGATTTTGGGCAAGTTCTTGAAAGTCTCTGAATAATATTTTCTCATTTGATAAATGCAAGTTTCTGTATAGGCTTACTATATTGGGAACTACCTCATGTGATCCCTGGCACAGGTGTTTTAAGGGTTGCCTTTGTTCTGTTGAGAGAATGGTTGTGGCAGAGATTTGTACCATGGATTGGGCTAACATGTATCATAGGACATGTCAAAGATTATAGTATTTATTAGGAATAATGAAGAAATTAGTGCTTGGGAATGAAACTGAAGGTGGAATAGATGAGGGCTGATTTGTAAATTGGGGAGAGCAATAGGAGGCAAAGCAAAATCAACAGTTGATATCACTCTGAAAAAAAGAATGATTTCCTCTTGCTACTTTGTGCTTTTTGGATCTCTGTGAGCCTTTTGAAGCACTGAACGGTCTTAAACACGTATAGTCGAGGATGACACAAAGCCTTGGATTTTTATACCCATGAGGGAGACGTGGAAGAGGCTCCTGGCTCCTGGCTTTGGATCGGCTCAGCTCCAGCTGTTGCAGCCACTTGGGGATTGAATCAATGGACAGAAGATCTTCCTCTCTGTCTTTCCTCTTCTTTGTATATCTGATTCTCCAATAAAAATAAATAAATCTTAAAAGAAAACACACACAGTCTGATTTTGGGGGAAAATGCATAACATTGTATCTGTAACGAATATATCTAAGAGTAAATATTTGTTCTCTTACTTTAATTGAGTTTGAGAACAAATATAGAGAACTTTTATCTGTGCATCGTAAAAGAATTCATATGAATTTTTGTTAAGAGAAATTGTGCTTTATTGAAGAATGATACAGCTGTGGCAGTCTGTGCTGCAAAACACTAAGGCACCACTTGAGAAGGTCACATCCCATATTGGAGCACCTGGTTCAAATCCTGGCTTTTTTTCTTGTGTTATAACTTCCTGCTAAAGCCCCTTGCAGTCAACAGATAATGAGCCAACACTTGGGTTCCTGGCCAGGGAAATGGGAAACCTGGATGGAGTTCCTGATTTCTAACTTAGATCTAGTCCTACCTAGTGGTTGCAGACATTTGAGCAGTGGTTCATCAAAGGGAAAATCTGTTTTTCTGTCACTCTTTCAAACAGATATATAAATTTTTAAAAGAAAGAGAGGCCTGTTTGCATTTCTTTTCATGATCGCAAACCCTGTTTACAAGTAATGGAGCAGTTAAAACAGCTACATTCTGTACTAGAGTTTCTGATACCTGTCTTTTAGGTTCTGATGCAAATACCTGCAGGTAGTCCTGTGGCTCAGGAAACTGGGTCTCTGCAACTTGTAGGTGAGACCTGGAATGAGTTCCTAACTCCAAGCTTCAATTCTAGCCTGTCACTACTGCAGGAATTTAGGGAGTGAACTGGTGGCTAAGGATGCACCTGGCTCTTAATCTCTCTCTCCATCTTGAAAAATAACAGTGATATTTCTACTTTCTGCCTTTTGAATACTATTGTTAGTAGTACATTAAGCCTGTGATTATAAAGTAAATTGAACATATGTTACTGCAAAAATTAGAGGAAAATAAAGGAAGAAAAGGACATTGAGAGAGGGACAGAGGAAAATGTGATTGTAGTCTTAAAATTGCACCTATAAAATACTAGTAATTTGCTCTTTCCTATGTCAATAAAATGTAAGAAAAGCAAAAAGAAAAATTGGAGAGAGTAGTAGTTCTAATAATCATATCCTAAACTGCTTTATTGTTTTAGGTTACTGTGGTATGTTTAAATAAAGGTGCATATACTTTGCAAAGTCATACGTTTTATTGGCTAAGATTAATAGGGTGTTTCTTTTAACAGAGTATTCTATTTTTGGATCAGTGAAGATTACATTCAGAATTTCTAGTTTTCAGAAATTGATAGTTGGGGTTAAACTCATGTGACACAGTTGCTGTGAACCTACCATTGTGGTGCCGTCTCTGTTGCTTCCACAGATTTCATCTGACTTCTGATAATTTAGTACCCAGAATAAGTAATTTAGTGAGTTAGGTAAAAGATTTTCCTTGATTCTTCTATTGTAATGCAGGTTCTTGATGTTAGGAATTGAGAAGGTTACAAAATATATCCCTTGGATGGGTTTGACTTACGGCTGTGCAAGTAATTTTTCCAGCCAGTTTTTGGGAGATTGTTCCATCCAGTACTGTTTGTTCTCTGTTATATTTTCCCAGAATAATTTCCAGTTTGTGGTTTTTCTCCAAAGACACCCACATTAGGAGTTTCCACTTAAAACAATTAAAATTATATCCACTTTTCTTTCTGACTCTAACATTTGTTTTACATATATCAGATGATTGATGTTTTTTAATTTTATGGGTTTTGTTTTTCCTCTTCTTGGATGTACTAAGTCAAAACAAACACAGTAAATTGTCTTCAGTTGACATATCACTTTATTATGTGCTTTAAAGACAGTCTTTGAAGTCCAAAAAAAAAGTTAGGTACTTGCTCAAATTAAAGGAAAAAAAGTATTTAAGTCATATGGAAAATATATTTTGCTAAAATTTATATTAGTTTAAGTTGCTTAATTAGTATGAATTTATGAATTTTAACATTGACACACAACTTTCCTGTGGAAAATTCATTGCTGAAATGCAGGAAATATTAGTGATTTACTTTTTAGCTTATCCACACTTTTTTTCCAATTCATTAACCTTTTTTCTGATTTAAGAAATAAATTGTATTAATTATATGTAAGGTATCATTGTTGGACAAGCTATTTATTTTCATTTTTAAAACATTTAATATTTAATTTATCTCCTCAAAACAGTAAGACTTGTCTCTTTATATAAGACTCATACTTCTGGCCCTCCCACATCAAAAGTATATATGATTTCTATTGTAACCACTACATATTTTTGAGAGAACAGTATTAAAGAACTAAGTTAAAAAATTAAGTATTAAGGAATAACATGTTAAAGTTATCAATGTCATTAATATTGAAGCTTTGAGATCACATACTTCAGTGTTGTTATGAAAATTAATATGGGACAACACATGTATTTGGCCTAAATTAAATATTATAAACTAGTGATGACTGTGATTAGTTTTGGGAAACCCTGTTCTGTTGATTACAAAAGGTGATGTTTTTTGCAAATACTTTCGGTTTCTCCTTTCTTAAAGGCTGAAGTGCCCATTTGAAGCAATTACAGCAGGATTTCTTGTTTCTTTTTCATGAGATCTATCTTCTTACCTGTCAGAATACCTGTATCCTACTCTGCCTCCCATTAGATAGGTGAACTGTCCACATATAATCAAGATTGTTAATTATTCTCTTCTGCATCATTATTTTTTTCTTATTAAATTTTTCAAATAACCTCAAGACTGTCTAAACTCCTTTGGCAACACCACAGTTCTGCTGCATACCATAATGTAAGTTCTGAAAAAGGCTGACTCCCTGTCTGCCACTAAACTACTCCACTAGGACACTGACCACAACTCTGCAACGCATTAAGAGAATCAAAGTACAGTCTTTCAAATCCAATAGTCAAACCTGTTCAAATATCTTAAATATCTTTTTTTTTTTTTTTGCCTTACTGTATGTTTCAGCATGTTTGGGCAAAATTGACTAAGCTTTCTACCTTCCTTCCTTGTTGAAACTGGTTCTTCTTGGCTTCTAAGAGCTAAATTTTTGTTTTTAAAATTTTTAGCTTGTCATTGCTAGTTACCTTTCCATTTGACATTTTTGCTATGGTTTCCTCCAGTATCTCTGAACTTTACATTTTCCAAGGTTCAGTCCTGCGCTCTCTCTCTACCTCATTATTAGCACATATGTGTGTCATGTTAAGTATAAGCTTGCATGACTGTATGTATGTATTGTCTATTTACATTCAATGGTTATACCTATTTTAATATATTCACACATGTATTTGAGAATTCAATATATGCAGATATATATGAACTGTCTGTTAACTGATATGTATTTTGCTTCTTTTGAATCTAGAAAATCATTAACATTGTTCCAACTGGGAATTTTCAAATTCTTTGTCTCCTTTTCCTAAAACAAAAATCCTTTCATCAGATACTTTTGACTTAAAACAGCCCTAGTTATGACCCCCCTAAGGATTTCCTGACCTCAGATCCACTGCACGCACCTGCCAGTGTGTATAGTTCTGCCGAGTATACGTTCAGGATTGTACCATTTCTGTGGAAGCTTTGCAAGAGTATTTCCCAATTTTTTTCAGCACTTGTTTTTCTTTTAAGGTTGTGTAATAGATCAACATCTTAATTTATTATGAAGAATGTTAATTTTATTTCCTACCTCATTTGTTAGCAACTGTTAATCCTACTTTTTTTAAAATTCATCTATTGCCATCTTTTGGAAACTTATTATTTTTAAAGAAAGCCATATTTTCTTTGTTCTAAACTTTGTTTTCCATCTTCACTTTGGATGTACTCTTTGGAATGGTCATTAAGGAGCTGTGACAGGGAATAGGTCAGAAGTGATTGGCTGGACTTGAACTGACATCCATGTGGGATACTAGTGACACAAGTGGAGGCTTAACGTGTATGTTGCGGCATTATCCCCCAAATAATGACATTTTAAAAGTAGCAGTTTCACTCATATTCTCTTACAACCGAAAAGAATGTTCTTAATTTGATCTTGAAAGCTGTATATCCAGCTTGCTCTATGAGATAGACTCATCAAAGGCACAGTTGTCAGCGGTCAAATGTTTACAAACGACCTGTGGGAAATAGAATCATCTTACTATCTTTAATTCTTTTGTTTCTCTAATCCCTTATAAACTAAATGGGACCAACAGATCTTCAAAATGCAAGAGTTTATGAGTGTAAGTCTCTCAAATGCTTTGAAATAGGATCTGGATACTGGTAAATTACAGCCATGATTACCAAGAAAAAATAGGAGTAAGTCAAGGGTGGAGTCTTCCTCAAAGTGGCTGAAATCTAATAAGTGTATACTTTATGATTGTCAGTGCACACTTATGTGCCTTTCTTAGTATGTACATTGTTTTTAGCAAAATGTTTAAAAATTATAAGAGTGAAATAGAATCATATGGGAGTTTAAATAAAGGTTGAAAATTTAAAAAGACTTTGTGAAAGCAACAATAAAGAAAAGGGTAATCACAGTTTACAGTAGGGATTGATTTTGTACAATTATGAAACAGCTGACTGACAAATACTTTGATTCTTTATTGCCATCTTCTTTTTTTATATATACATACATATATACATATATTGCCTGTAAGATCACAGGAGCATGGTTGGGTGTATTTCTGAGGAAAATTTTGTGAGTAAATTTACCTTGATGTAAATGTCTATTTACCTTCCGGAAAGTTATGTTCTTCTAATAAGTGCACAAAAATATCTTTCCTCAAACACTTATCAGTTCTGGGTATTATTATGTTTTCTAGATTTTAATAACATTATTGGTTTTATTTTCACTGTTTCATTATTCATTCACAAAAGTTATTTTACCACTGCTTCTGATTAGCCAAAAAAAGAACCAAAATTATTCCCTGAATTTGTATGAAAGAGAACTGGTATGAGCAGGCCACTTCACTGAAGCTGGTTTTTATATCTGTATCCCATTTGATAGTTTTGAAGATTCATTTGAAAGTGTTATTCCTGGCATGAAGATTGTTAGCATTGTTGTGTGTTTTTGTAAGCCAGAGCATGTGTATAATGCTTTCGTTCGTATCCTCACCCTTTTTCCCCCTACTGCACTGTTCTAAAAAATTGATTTGTATTCATGTGTGTGTGTATAAATATGTAGAAACATTTAATAGACTATTTCACAAAAATAGTTTCCCCAGTTTCTAGTTTGCTTTCAACTGCTTTTGGCATTGCATCCATTCAAAATGTCAAAGTTTGTATTAGCATATGTATCCGTCTTTAAAATTTCTCTTTCTCCTTGGCACATGCAAGTACTTATGTTATTTAAATTTATTATTTTCAGGGTTTATGATTCTGGCAAGGAATTCTTTATGAAAGCATTCACAGTATCTCTTTTTTCCTAAATGGATAGCCAGTTGCCACAGCAATCGTGGTAGAATATTATTTCTCCTCCCTTTTTTTGAAAATTCATCTTTGTCATTAAATTTCCACTTTCATTTGGCCTGACATTCTGGCTTTCCATTTTGTTCCCTTGACCATTATCCTTTGCACCACCAAATTGTTTTAATTATTATCACTGTATAATGTGAGTTAGTATTGGCTGGAGAGTTCCTTTTTGATTATTCCCTACAATCAAAAATTTCCTGGCTTCTTTGAATGCTTAGTTTTCCAGGCAAATCTCAGTAAGTTTGCTTCAGTTTCTCATAATTACCATTCATATTTAATTAACATTTCTTCAAATTTATGGATTAATTTAAAAAACATTGACATCTCTGCACTACTGGATTTTCCTATTAGAGATTGTGATTTATCCTTCCATTTACTTGATTCTTGAACTTGCTATAATAATGATAATAATAATAATAATAATAATATATACTTAAATAAGAGACTGATGGAATTATGGCTCCTTATGAAGGACTATACTATTGTAGCAACATGGGGAAAATCTGTTGGCGGGTGGGAGTTTGGCAGGGAATCCCAGTCTGTACGAAATTGTACCACAAAATTCAAACATTCAAAAAAAATAATAATACACAAGCTGTTTCTGTATTGATCTTGAATATTAAGTTACTATGACTATTTAAATCCCATTCGTCCCTAATAGAAGTAGTGTTTTATTTAGTATTTTATTATTTTAACTTTGTTTTTAACTGATACATGGATATTATATTTACTTTTGAGATGGCATATGGTGTTATGATACACAGAAGCATTCTGTAATGTTCAAACAGGGTAAGCATTTCTGTGTCTTCAAATATTTAGTAGTTCATCATGGAAAAAACATTGAAAATCCTTTCTTCTAGGACTAAAAAAGAAAAATATAGTACATTATCATGTGTTTGCTCACTGTATAGCAAAGATGTCAGTTCTGTTTAAATTAGTGCTCATCCCTCTGTGTCCTCACTCATCACAGCCTTTGGTAACCACCCTCACCCTCTCGGTTAGATTCCATATAGGACGGGGGATCATGTGGGTTTTTTTTCTCTACATGACTTATCACGTTTAATGCAGTGATCTCTAATCCTATCTGCATTGCTACTAATGGCAAGATTTCATCCGTATTTAAAGCCTGAGTAATCTTTAACATCCCTTATTTATTCTTTAGGAAATGGAAACTTAAATTAATTCCACTTTGACCATTGTCAATAGAGCTGCAGCAAACAGGAACATATATTATTATTCAGATATGAAACAGGGTTTGCATATTATGTTTTCCACAATACTAATTGGTTTATTAATTTGCTTAGAGTATTGTAATGTTAGAAAATTAGATATGTGATCATAAATAAAGAAAATGTTTTATTTTTCGCCCTTTAATACTATCTCTTGTTTTGAACTGATTAGTCCATAGGAACAGAAGCCCTAGTAATGAGTAAACATATATGTATATATGTATTTAGTATAATTTCACATCAGGGTCTTCCAAAATTCATGGAAAATACATTCCATGAAAAGCCTATGTATGGATTATAGAATTTTTACCAGAGCAAACTTAAATATTGACTCCATTTTTATGAAATTTTGAAGTCCCCTGTATCGTTGACTTTTGATTCCAGGCAAAAGTGGCAACCATAGTTTGTTTCAGTTTTAGCTCCCACTCTTTTCTGAACATTATTTAAATGTATCAGGCATTTAGTAAATTCTTTGTTTTCCTTGAGCCAGTTTTAAGAGTTGGGTTGTAACTCTTGTTTACTGATTTAACAAAATCTATAATGATATTTTGGCGATTTGTCAATGTTTGAAATGGATGTGGAAAAAGTATGTTGGCTGATATGAGCGTTTAATGCTGTAGGTTCCCAGTGAAAAATCAGTAGATAATGCTGAAAAGTGGGATTGTAATATGTAATTTGGTAATTTGAATTTATGGTGCTAAGGAACTTTCTGGGTGAATGCATTGCCTTTAATGGGCTCTATAACATTCAATAACTTGTTGAACTGTGTGAAAAAATAATGTTTCTAAAAATTACATTATTCTGCAGTATCTTCTCTCTCTTGCTCTGCTAGATAACCAAGAGTATGTTATAGTCTATATGGCACCTTAAGCATGAATTTGACCCAAATGGTGCCATAAGTCAATGGTCCTCTCTTAGCCTGTGTCGTCACAATGAAGAATTTGAAGAGGGCCTGGTGCCATTGCCTAGTGGCTAATGTCCTCTGATTGCATGCGCCAGGATCCCATATGGGCGACAGTTCTAATCCCGGTGGCCCTGCTTTCCATCCAGCTCCCGACTTGCCACTTGGGAAAGCAGTCAAGGACGGCCCAAGGCCTTCGGACCCTGTACCCATGAGGGAGACCCGGAAGAGGCCTTGGGATGGGCTCAGTACTGTGTGTTGTGACAACTTAGGGAGTGAATCAATGGATGAAAGATCTTTCGCTCTATCTCTCCTCCTCTTTGAATATCTGCCTTTCAATAAAAATAAGTAAATCTTAAAAGAATTTGAAGAAAAACCTACAGTACTCATGATTATCCTAGAACTAATACTAAACCTATATCCACTAAACATCATGCTGTAAAACTTTGTCTTTTCTCGTTTTGAGATAACGAAAAGCTTTTAATCTTCACAGACATAATCTGAATAGATCCCTAGGATAAACAACTTGTACAATCATAAACTGAAAAAAAAACAGCGTTCTACTGCATATTTGTATTTCCTATTCAGAGTCTGTCTCTCTTGAGCTAGAATTGATCTCAAAGAGTAGGTTGGTCTTCACAGAAGGCTGCAGTAAACCATTTCTAGTCATTTGTGTGTGCTGACTTGCACAAGTCCATGTTGCTTCCAGAACAAGAGGCTCACCAGGTGCAAAGACAGCTTAGCTGTTGAGATTTCTGAAGATCAAAAGCATTTTCCTTCTGTGGTCGTAAATGAAGTCTTGACCAATGTTGATTAATCTTCCGTGAAGATGGGAATTTAACTATTTGCTGGTTTATTTCTAGTGCGTTTTGATTAGGACCGTGTTGAATATGTAATGACTTTATTTAGGTTTAAATGTTTCTTTAATTAATTACAAGTTTAGTTTAATTTAATTTAATTTTATTTTATTTGCCTCAGGGTGACCGTGGATTTCCTGGATTTCCTGGGCTTCATGGAATACCAGGATCAAAGGTTGAAATCTCCTTTATCTATTTTTTTATAATTAAAAATATTAATGTAATGGAAGAGAAGATAATGAATGAACACTTGGGTTACAAAAAATGATGTGACAAAACTTTAGTGATACTGACGAGGATATAAATCAATACAACACGTGTTTCCAAAGTGAGTAACTGGAGCAAGAACAGAACTGCTTGTGCTATAAAATTTAATAGTAAAAGCAAACACAGCTAGCTTTGTTCCAACAAATTAGATAATATAGTTAAAATGTACAAGTAGAAAGACATGAATTACCAGAATAACTCAGAATGAATTTTTAAGTCTAAATTGATGCACGAGAAGAATTTGAATTAGTAACTAATAGATCTTTTCACAATTCTGTATATACTCCAAAAGGTTAGAAGAAAATAAAGTGAAAGCGTGAGTCTGTTTTACCACAAAATGAATGAAATCTGTGTCCAGTTTTTACATAATGTATTTTTCCCAGGAATTTTTTGAAAAGTTTTGTGTATGTTCATGCCAAGATGTCTTCACTGGAGAATTCAATCAGATGTTCAGAGACAAAATAATAGTGTTCTTTTAAAAACACAAAAATCTGGAAGCTGAAATAAACGCAGAGGGAAAATAACCCAGTTGATTCTGTGTGATCAGTATTTGTCTATTATACGGGAGCTAAAGACATGAAAAGTAAAGAAAGTGATAGACTACTATTCCTCAGAAACATAGATATATGTAGTATTTTGATTCAGAATGAAAGTACTTCTTTTTTTTTATTATTGTTGCTTACATTGTATTATGTAGTACAGTTTTATAGGCGCTGGGGATTCCCCCCACTCCTCCCATACCCCTCCCCCCATGGTGGATTCCTCCACCTTGTTGCATAACCATAGTTCAAGTTCAGTTGAGATTCATTGCTTGCAAACACATGCCTAGCATAAAGTTCAGCATCTTATTGTCCAGATAAGTTCAGTGGCCTCTTGGGGAGACCTTCTATGGTCTGAAGATAGGTCTAACAGAGTAAAGATCCGGTCAGTTAAAAGCCCCAACAAAACCTCAGTATCAATATACAACATTATGGAATTAATTGACATAGTATTGGGTAAACAATATGTTAAAAATAATGCAAGTTCCCTTCTTCGAAACATCTGGGTTGAGACAGTATCAATGACAGGTTCAAAAAATAACAAACAACCAAACAAAAAATCACAGGTTAAATCAAGGCAAACATGTGGTATCTAATCTTTTGGGATTCGCTCATTTCCCTTAGCATTATAGTTTCCAGTTGTGCCCATTTAGCCACAAAGAACTGCATTTTGTTTTTTTTAATAGCTGAGTAGTATTCCATGGAGTAGATGAACCAAAGCTTTCTTATCCAATCTTCTGCTGATGGGCATTTCGGTTGCTTCCATGTTTTTGCAATTACTGATTGTGCTGCAATGAACATAGGGATGCATGTTGGTTTGTCGTGCAACAGGTGTTTTGGATATATTCCTAGGAGTGCTATTGCTGGGTCATATGGTATGCAGATTTTGAGTTGTTTGAGTGTTCTCCAGACTGATTTCCATAAAGGCTGTACCAATTTGCAGCTCCACCAGCAGTGGAGTAGGGTTCCCTTTTCCCCGCATCCTCGCCAGCAAGCATCGTTGGTGTTCTTGTTTATGTGGGCCAATCTTACTGGTGTTAGGTGGTACCTCATCGATGTTTTAATTTGGATTTCCCTTATTGCTAGGGAGCTGGAACATTTTTTCATATGTTTGTTTGCCATTTGGACTTGTTCCTTTGTGAAATGTTTGCCCATTTCCCGTGCCCATTTCTTGAGTGGTTTGTTTGTTTTGGTTTTTTGGTTGTTTTGAAGTTCTTTGTATATCCTGGAAATTAGCCCCCTATCGCCTATATCGTGTGCAAAGATCTTCTCCCACTCTGTGGGTTGCTTTTTTACTTTGTTGATTGTTTCCCTTGCTGTACAGAAGCTTCTTAGTTTGATGAGGTCCCATTTGTTTATTCTGTTCTCAACTGCTATTGCTTTTGGTGTCCTTCTTAGAAAGTCGGGACCTACTCCTAGGTCTTGCAGGGTATTACCTACATTTTCTTGCAAGAGTTTGAAGGTTTCTGGATGTAGGTTTAGGTCTTTTATCCATGTAGATTGGATCTGAGTGTATGGTGATAGATGTGGGTCTATTTTTTTGTTTCTACAGGCTATCAGCCAGTTGTCCCAACAACATTTACTAAAGAGGCCTTCCCACTTGCTTGAGCTGTCATTGGTCTTTTTGTCAAAGATTAATTGGCTGTATTTGTGTGGGTTCCCTTTTGGTGCTTCTATTCTATTCCATTGATCTTCCTTTCTGTCTTTGTGCCAGTACCAGGCTGTTTTGATAACCACTGCTCTATAGTATGTCCAGAGGTCCGGGATTGTGATTCCCCCTGCTAACTTCTTATTTTTCAGGATGGTTCTAGCTATTCGTGGTTTTTTGTGTTTCCAGATGAACTTTTGAATCATTGTATCCAGTTCCGTGAAGAATGTTTTGGGCAATTTGATTGGAATTGCGTTGAAAATGTATGTTGCTTGTGGTAGTATAGACATTTTAATGATATTGATTTTTCCTATCCAGGAGCACGGGATGTTATTCCATCTTTTGAGGTTTTGTTCAATTTCCTTTTTAAATAGTTTGTAGTTTTCTTCGAATAGGTCTCCTACGCTTTTGGTTAGATTTATTCCCAAATACTTCACACTTCTCTGCTATTTTGAATGGTATCCTGTTGGTTAGATCTTCTTCCATCTTGGTGTTATTTGCGTACACTATGGCTGTTGATTTTTGTTCGTTAATTTTGTACCCCGCCACTCTGCCAAACTCTCGTATAAGTTCTAGCAGTTTCTGTATTGAGTCTCCTGGTTTTCTGCTACACATACATAAATGTTGAGTCAATTTAAATATCAAAGTTTATATAAACTTTGGAAAAATTACCTTCAGAATTTTAACTTATTGATGTACAATACTTTGGTACTTAAAATTGATGCTTTACTATCTACAAGTCTTCTTAATTGTAAGCACTATTGCAGTACTAATTGTGCTTATTTTCATTTTTTTTATTTGTAAAATCTAGAAAATAGATTTTTTTTGTCAGTAAACTAGTTTATTTCAGTTTTACTTTCACAGTGGTATATTAATCTGTAAGTCTACATTATCCTACGTATGATTTTTCTTTATAAAGGAGCTATTATGAGTTCTGTAATTAATATTTATGGCTTATCATTTAGGGTGAAATGGGTCCCAAAGGAGATAAAGGATCACCAGGATTTTATGGCAAAAAGGGAAGTATGGATGACACTATTAAATATTTTCATTGAAGTTATGGTGTAGTATACATAAAAGGCATACATTAGAGTCATTTCAAAAAAGCAAAAAATAGCTGGTAAATGAAATGCATGGTATTCTACAAGACTGTATTGTACTACTGATCCTTCTTAATTTTAAAAATATTTGCAGCATATATATTTTTAGGAGGAGTTACATGTTACTTGAAAACATGTCCACTACAATCTATATCATGGGAGTTCCTCCTTTCTCATATAGACTAAGATTTGTCCTCTGTATATTTTACATGCACCTTGACTTTCACTGTTTCTAGGATGTAGTTTCTAGACAAAGATGCCAATAATTGTATTTCTGTATTTATTAACATTTTCAAACTTTTGTGTTATATCTTCCGGATTGGTAAAACGATGCTTTATGGGAAGTTGCAGAGCAGATAGGAGCTGTCATTCCCTGAGCCCTCATTACATGTGAGGATGCTTTAAAAAAATCATAGAAAAGTGGAAGTAACAAATTACTTTGGAGCAAAAAAATTGTTTGAAATGTGTGCATTTCTATGGACATTTTGAAGACAGCCATAGTGATGTTATTTTATTAACTTTCCTGTGTAAGTTTGTAAATATGTAAGTTTGAGTAGGATTGTGAAAATGTCAGCAAAAGGATTTAAAGTGTTTGTTTTTACAACAGGGTGCTAAAGGTGAAAAGGGCAATGTGGGCTTCCCTGGCCTTCCTGGACGTGCTGTGAGTTGGATAGAAGAACACCCTTGAGAATTATATTTTAAATCCTGTCTTTTTTAAAAAGGAAAAATTGTTGTAAAACTGTGTTGAAAGCACATTTTTTTTTTTCTTTTACAGGGAGAACCAGGAAGACACGGAAAAGATGGATTAATGGGTAGTCCTGGTTTTAAGGTATTGAACAAAATAGAACAAGAATATTTTTTGTAGTTTGTGAGTGAGCATTATCAGAGCATAGCAATATTATAATATTTAATTACATATGATATTGGAATAAAGTTAAAGCGCTAAATTTTTGATTAAAAAATTTATTGGAAAGACAGATTTACAGAGTGAAGGAGAGACAGGGAGAAATATTTTCCATCTGCTGGTTCATTCCCCAAGTGGCTGTGATGGCCAGAGCTGAGCTAATCAGGAGCCAAGATCCTTTCCCTGCTCTGCCACAAGGGGTGGGGAGAGTACAAGGTCAGGGCCATCCTCTACTGCTACAAGCAGGGAGCTGGATGGGAAGTGGAGCAGCCATTACCAGGACTGAATCCATATGGAATCCAACCATTTACAAGAGTGAGGACTAGCCAACTGAACCATCATGCCAGGGCCCAAAGCACTAATTTTTATTTTTTGAAGTTAAAAATGATAATAAACTTATTTGGGTTTTTTGATAACTTTCATTTGTTAGAAATATCATCATAGAATACTAAGGAAATACTGAGAGTTTCTTTGGTAAATCATTCAAATTAGATTCATTAAGATACACATCCTTTGTTGTATTTCTCAAAGGGATAAGATTTGGGGGGAAAATCTGTATGATTAATATTGAAAATTCTTTATCAGTTGTGTGGTATAATGTGGCTTTGAGAAAATTGTGGCAAAGGCAAATACAGAGTGCTGGTCACTTATTATTCCTCAAAAACCTCAAAAGCACATGCCCTTTTGATGGGTGATTAGCACCATCAAATTACTGACAAAAAATGTATTTGCCAATTACAAATTTAAATGACTTTCCTAATTAATAGTTATTAGGGAATAATATTCAAGTCAATATGATGTCTGAAATGATTGAATGCTGTAGTCTTGTGTAATCCATCAAGCATAGATTTGTATAATCCATCATAATCAAAGAAGCCACTTGGTAAAGCACTAGATTAAGTAATGTGTTTCCCAAGGTCAGGTATTTGAAGCTCAAACTTGATAAAAAAAAAAAAAGTTGTCCTTGTCTTTAGTTGAATTGCCTTCCTTTAAAACTGTTGTGTGTCTAGTCATTTGCTTCAAGTGTGTGAAACTACTCAGAATATTCGTTAATCTTGATTGTTGACAATGCTTTCCAAAGCATGTCCAAATAGTGTGTGTTAATAGTGTGTGATCAACTGGTGAGCACGCTGGCACAGCAGGTTAAGCTGACACCAACATCTCATATAAGAACTTGATCAACTTAATTTCATTGCATTTGGTTTTATGTCCTGCTGATTTAATAAACAGACAATTTACTTTTATTTGGATTGGATGTAACAGGTAAAACAAGCTATAAAGGCCCCCCTCTTCTTATGGACTTTTAAATATAATCACTCTGTGTAAGAAAACAGATATTTTTTTATCTGTGTACTAGACATTAAAATTTTCAGTGTCTTCTGTAAGTATAAGGCTGTATGTTCCACTGAATGACGATTCTATAATTTTTTTATATAGTATAGGTTAGGGTTTGGAAACAAGTTATGCATTTGTGGATTAGGATGATTTTAATTTATTGTACTTGGCAAATCCTTTATGTTAAGCTTCTTCCATTTCAAGAATGGAGAAAATGTTACCTACCTTAAATGGTTAAGGTTTGACCAAGATAACAAAAATCAGCACAGTTCTTGACAGAGAATATAAATTCAAGTACAGATTAGTATCTTGTCCGTTTCTTGATTTAAACATAACTTTTAGATTTCAGGGGGATCTAAGCGGGTAGTTTGGTATATGTGCCCTCACCTATGAATATGCATTAGTTCACTCAAGAACTTTATGGGTAGATCGCTTATACTGCATAATGTTCACCCATTTTATGTATGCAAATTAATGTGATCTAGTGTATTTGCTGAATTATATATTCATCACTGTATTCTAATTTTGGAACATTTTCATCAGTCCTAGTGAAACTGCATACATGATAGTAACCACACCTCATTTCCTTTTAAGACAGAAACCCCACCCTTCAGCTCTAGTGAGTATTCTGTCATTGTGAATCTTCTATTCTGGACATTTTGTGTTCATGGAATCATACTTGGTCTTTCATAGACTATAACAGACATCCATTTGGGGGCTTGGATCAATATTTCATTCCTTTTTATTGCTAATAAAGGTATTCCATCACCTCTTATTTGAGTCATTCTCTTTCTCCATTGAGTAATATTTCACTTGTGTGAAATATCAGTTGGAATCTTTTGATTCTCAGTTCTTTCAGCTGTGATTTTATCTCTCTCATTTCCTCAACAACAAACAGTCTTCAATTCTGTAATTATAGAATAGATCTTGATGGGTGGGCATTTAGGGCATTGGTTAACATGCGATGCCAACATTCCACGTAAGAGTGCCTCATTTATCTTGGCTCTGCTTCCAGTTCTCATCTGCTCTTGCACAACCTGAGAGGCAGAGGTGAGGAGCTGAGTGCTTATATCCTTGCCTAAGTGGACAGACCCAAGTGGAAAATCAGATTAAATTCCAGGTTCCTGATTTCAACCTGATCTAGTCCATGCTGTCATGAGTATTTTTTGAGCCAGTTTATGAAGTATTTCTCTCTGTTTCTCTGTCTTTCTAACAAATAAAAATAAATAATACATCTTAGAATCAGCATAAATAGTCTAAATCTATTTTAAACTGTAATGGGTATCCTAGAGCTGTGTAATTTCATATAATTTTTGGTATCATCTTGAAAACATTACAAGAAAAGGTTTGTTAAATAAACTCTTGCTGGTAATGTTAATTTGCAAGCATAGTACAAAGAGTTCCCTTATACTTTTACCCATCTGATATTACTACAATATTACAATATGTTTGTCAAAATAAAGAAAGCAATGCTAGCACAAGTTACAAACTGAACTCCATACTTTATTGAATTTTATTTGTCTTTTTGCGATATTGTTGCTGCCCTATTTCTGTTCCAGGATCCAATCCAGGATCCCACATTTCTTTTTGGTCATGCTTCACTGTTCTCTTCCAATTTATAACATCAATCATTATTATATGACCTTGATATGGTTGATGAGTATTGAGTAGATATTTTATGGATACCACTACATGAGTTTGTATGTGGCTTTTTTTGTGATTAGACTGGAATTATGGTTGGTTTTGAAGAAGGATATAGCAGGTATTCTTCTTAACTTTGAAGACCACACATCTTATCCATCTTATTCACTTGTGATACTAACCTCTATCACTTGGTTAAAATATACTCACGGATTCTCCACTGTGAAGTTATTAATTTTTTTCTCTCCATTTTTTTCTTCAGCAGTAGTTATGGACTCTAGCCCATACACAAGCTATAAGTTGGAATTGAGCTCCAACTCTTAGAGGAGGGAATATCCTTATGTGTTTAAATACGTTTAGGAAGTGCTTTCATCTTAGCAGCGTTGTCTTCCAAAATACTGTTTGTTACTAGTATTGGATGATATTAGTTTTGCTATATTGATCATATACCCCACATTCTTGATACACTTGTCCACTGGTTTTTGTAACTTCCTTGTTTTTCTCCAAATTTTCGATTTATTCTTATTCTGTCTGGGAGAAGAGAGATAAAATGGGAAGCCACGCCCAGCCTCCCAAATGTCCCTGTAGCCAGGAATGGGAACTGCCACCTGATATTAACCCGGGGTTCCAATGTGGTGCATGTTCCAAGGGTTCTGCCCAAGTGGTTTGCGTAGTTCCGAAATGCTATCGATTTAGCTGAGCCAAGGATGAGGTAACCCTCCCACTGACCCACTGTCCATAGTCAACTTCATTTCCATTAACCCAGATATTGGCTGTCATTGTTTGGCTGGAGTAGCTGTCCAGTTTGTTCTTACTGTACTCAATAGCTTGCCATACTCTCCATGTGCATCATGGTCTACATCCACTGCTCTGCCTTTTTCACTTGCAGGAAGGCCCAAAGACATAGGCCAGGTGACCCGAGCCCCACCTGATCCCCCACCCCTGGGGTTCATGAATCTGATACCCACCTCACAGGTGAGCCCAAGGGCACAGGCCAGGTCACCCAAGTGTGTCAGTGGATCCCCCTGAGGGCTCATGATCTTGGTGCACACGCACAATCAGGCCCCAGGACCTGGGCCAGACAACCTGAGTCCCACTGGATCCCCTGCCCTGGGGCTCACCAATCTGGGGCCCATTGACTCCAGGATGGCATGGCTCACCTCACCTCAGCATCCAGTATTGCATTGTGTAGCCTGACTTAATGCACCCTGCCCCCAGTTCCAGCTCCTGCTGGTAGATGCTGCAGCCTAGCCTCACCTAGTCACATTCCTGTCCCAGACCTAATGTAAACTGGCTGGTGTTGTGGCTTGATCTGGCCCCTCTTGCACCCTGTTCTGGTTCTCAGATCTGCCAGTGAGTGTTATGAATCCACGTGTATGTTGGCAGACCTAATCCACGTGTATGTTGGCAGGTACTATAACTTGGAATGGTCTGGGCTGCTCCCAGTGGTCCTTGTGCTCACCTGCAGGGACTGTGTCCTGATAAAGGAGTTTCCCAAGCTCCTCTATTATGTCTGCTTCCAGAGGCAGATCTCATGCACATCAGTAGGTCTTTGGCCCAGGCTGACTTAGTCTACCTCCTGTCCAGGCAGGAACAGTGGCCCTGCTCAACCGGCCCACACCCATTCTGGTTCTGGGTTTTATGACCCAACCACACCGGGTCCACGCTCAGACACAGCTTTCACATGGTTAAGTGAGAGCCGAGACCTGGCTTAGCCTGTTCGATACCCACCCTGGTTCTCAGAAGCACCAGTGGGTGATGGAGTACAGCCCAGCCTATTGCTCGCCAGACCCAGTCCATACCCATGCAGAGGGAGGCTGTAGCCATGTCCAGTTTAGTCTTCTGCCCCCAATCTGGCTTTCATGCTCACCAGTAGGAACCCCAACTCAGCTTGGGCATTCCCTTAACTTCCCAGCCATGCCTGTTCCCATCCACAGCTCTTGGGCATG